ATATATATATATATCTGTGTTCATTTTAAAAGTACCTTTTCTTAAAAGTAAATCTCACATTCATATAGTATCTGTAAAACCGCGATTAAAATATCTCCAGATATAATATAATATACTGTATATATAATATATAATAATTATAATAGTTAAAATTCTGTTCAGTAACTCTGTTCGGTGTGTGTACCACTGTGCCTATCGTTCCCTACGCCAAAAAACAACGTACAGATTATCCTTCCTTTGTACACGCAAAACATTCCCTTTGCTTCTCCTTTTCCTTCTTCTTTTTTTTCCGAATATTCCGATAATTCAGATTTCTATTCGGCATGAACGAATTGAAATGTGGCTTCCTTTTTCTTTTACGTCATTCTTTTGTGTGTGTATGTGTGTGTTATGGTATTATCATTCACCGCGTTTTATCAAAAGGGATGTATAACGCTTTCGTTTTTTTTTTGTTTTTTTCTTTTTTATTTAATCTTAGAGATGGTTTTCGTTCTCGTTTGTTTCTTCTTCGATTTTTGTGAATTTTATACTTTAGTTTAATATGTGCTTTTTTTTATATCTCTCTTCTCTTAGATATTTAATTAAAGATATCGTTAATATTATTAATAAGAATCGTGTATGTATGTATAGCAATAAACCACGAGTTGCTTATCCAGATTCTTTTCAATCAGCCTGCAACGATTTAATTGCCTTTCTCTTCATGTTCAGCGCTGATCCTTTTCTTCCAGAATTGGCCCAGGTACTTAATATTGTACCAGTTGGTTCCGCCGGGTGATTGTCACCTTCACGGTCCCTGCAAATAAAAGATTATTTCTGAGAGCAGCGCTAGTTCCCTTCATTGATCCAATTGTGATACAATGCCAGTGAATTGTTGTTGTGCAAATCAGGATTGCGTTAGAATGAGTGTCTTAGTATATCATATACATATATATCAACTGATCTAAAGCATACTTCCATGTATAGAGATCGCACGATGAGTTGCAAATGTGTAGTATAGCTGTAACTAACATGAAAAAGAATATATAAAAAGAAACTGGAAGAACGTGTCGCTTTCGAATCAAAAATTCACCACGTATTTGTTAATAAGTTCAGCTGTACGTTTCGAGAAGAAAAAAAACGAACTGATAAAAACTTAGAATCTTATTGTGCAGCAAAGGTAATATGTTTGCGTAAATAGATGACAAGAAAGTAACACTCGTATAGAAACCTGTGCGCATGAGTGTGTAAGCGTACAGTGCTACAGTCGTA